TGCACTGGACCCAATCTGAAAAGAAACAAAAGCAGAAAGTTATAGGGAATAGACAGGGCACAAGTCATAGGCCCAAGCATGACTTGTTGACTTCAATTCTAGTGTTTCCCCTCCTCAACAGTAAATCCAAGCTATCTTTGGTGTTGCATACCTGAAATCCCAGAACTCAGGGGGCAAAAGCAAGAGGATTATGCGTTCAAGGCCAGCCTAAGCTCTGAAGAAACTGTCTTTAAAAAAACTAGAATACAAAATGAATTTAACAAGATTTTGGGCATAGATGACTAAACAAAAATCAATTGTATTTCTAGTAACAAGTGAGAAATAAAGTAGGCCTGGGAATACATGCTGGTCAGTCTACCATTAAGGAGAGTGTGGCAGGAGAATTGGGAGTTGGAGGTGAGCCTAGGCTACATAGTGCGTCTCTAGCTCAAAAAAAACAAAAACAAAAAACCCCTTAATATTACAAAAATGTTTAAAAATTAGGGTTAAGTCTTGCTCCAGTGGCTCACTCTGGTAAACCTAGTGACTCAGGAGGCTGAGATCTGAGTGCAGTAAGGAGGCTGGGTCTAAGCAAAAGGCCTTAATACGATATAAAGGACATTCTTTAGTTTACAAATGTGTTTTTGTTGGAAGTTCCAGAGATGCTTTACTCTTCTTAGATGACTGGTTTTTGATTGCCCTTGATTGTGTCTACATTGGATTTCTTTTGGCTTATATTTAACATCTTTGTTAGATTTGAGGGTTCATTTGTTTACTTTGATTGTGTTCACATCTGATTTGCTTTCTACTTTAAGATTAATTTCATGCACCTTATGTGGTTTCTGTGCTATATAAGCCATGTGTTAGTGGTATTTATAGTGGTAGGACTTTGTGACTAGAGTCTCTCTGCCAGCCACTAGTACTTCAATAAAGACTCTGTTCTTACAACTGGATTTACTAAGAACATCAGGATCGTGGTTCAAAGCCAGCCCAGGCAGGAAGTCTGTAAGAATATTATATCCAAACAACCACCAGAAAACCAGAAGTGGCACTGTGGCTCTAAGTGATAGGGTATTAGCCTTGAGCAGAAGAGCTTAGGGACAGCATCCAGGCCCTGAGTTTAAGCCTCACAACTACCACCAACAAAATAGGGTTAAATATTATAAAAATGTGAAATAGTTGTACGCTAAAAACTACAGACATTACTTACATCATTACAGATTATCTGAATAATGGAGCAATATATTTGAGTTTAGGGGTTAAAACACTTAATATTGCTAAGACAAATTCTCACAAAATTGACCTAAGATTCAAATTCTCTGAAAGTTTTAACATATAAAGCATAACTATTTCTAATATTCATATGGAAATGCAAAGGATATACAATAGAGAACACATACTTGATTTTTTTCTTTTCTTTTCTTTTCTTTTTGTTTTGCCAGTCATGGACCTGAACTCTGGGCCTGGGCACTGTCCCTCAGCTCTTCAGCTTGAGCCACAGCACCACTTCCGTTTTTTTCTGTTTATGTGTTGCTGAGAAATCGAACCCAGGGCCTCATGCATGCAAGGCAAGCACTCTACCACTGAGCCACCTTCCCAGCCCCGAGAGAACACATATTTGAAACAGAAGAAATAAATTGCAGGATTAATACTATTTGATTTCAAGGTTTATGATTAAAGGTACATTAATTAAGACAATGTGGTATTGTTATCAAGATAAACATGTAAACAGAACTCAATATGGAATTCAGAAATAGATTCACTCACAGACAGACAGACAAACTTTTGGACAAAGTTTTGTTTTTTGGGGTTTTTTTTGGGGGGGGGTCCGGTCGTGGGGCCTGAACTCTGGTCCTGGGCACTGTCCCTCAGCTCTTCAGCTCAAGGCTAGCGCTCTACCACTTGAGCCACAGCGCCACTTCTGGCTTTTTTCTTTTTGCTTATGTGGTGCTGGGGCATCAAACCCAGGGCCTCATGCATGCAAGGCAAGCGCTCTATCACTGAGCCACCTTCCCAGCCCCTGGGCAAAGTTTTAAATACAGTTTTGTTGGAGAAAGAATGATACTTTCAACAATGATACAGCAACAACTGTCCACTTATGAACAATTTTGATCTATGGTTTACACCATGTAGCTAAATTTAAATAAGAGTTGCATGAACCAGTGGATCAAGACCATAACTTTAGCTACTCATGAGGCTAAGATCTGAGGATTTTGATTAAAAGCTGGAAGGCTATGAGACTCTTATCTGCAATAAACAAGTAGGGGAAAAAAAGCTGGACATCAAGCTTTGTCTGAAGTAGCAGAGTGTCAACCTTGAGCAGAAAAAGCTAAGCAAGAGTATAAGACCTGGAGATCACACCACGGAACTCACACACACACACACACACACACACACACACACACACACACACACATCCTAGTAGTAAAACCTAAAATTATAAAATTTCTTAAAATATTTGTGCCCTTAGATTACACAAACATTGAACACAAAATAAATAGAAGTACAATTAGGTAAATTGGACTTCATCAAATTAGAATGTTTATGGGGGGCTGGGAAGGTGGCTCAGTGGTAGAGCGCTTGCCTTGCATGCATGAGGCCCTGGATTCAATTCCTCAGTACCACATAAGCCAAAGAAAAAAAAAGCCAGAAGTGGCGCCGTGGCTCAAGTGGTAGAGTGCTTGCCTTGAGCTGAAGAGCTGAAGGACTGTGCCCAGGCCCAGAGTTCAGGACCCACGACCGGACCCAAAAAAACAAAAACAAAATAAAATAAAATGTTTATGTACTTCAAAAAACATTGCTTATATAATGAAACAATAGGTAGAATCTTGGTGAAAACTTTGGAAAGTCACATATCTAATGAACACTTGGATATAGGATACATATAGAATTCTCAAAAGACACCAATAAAAAAGTAAATCATGAGTCAGGTGCTAGTGGTTCGTGCCTAAAGTCCTAGCTACTCAGGAAGATAAGATCTGAGGACTGCAGTTTGAAGCCACCGTAGGCAAGAAAGTCCATAAGACACTTATCTTCAATTAACTCAGAAGGGGAACTGTGGGTTAAGTGGTAGACATTAGCCTTGAGCACAAAAGCTCAGGTAGAGTGCTCAGTTTCTGAGTTCAAGCCCCAGGGCCAGAGTGTGCACTCGCACTTAAACACGTGCGCTTGCGAGCGTGTGCACCCCCCACACACGCCCGCACGCACGCACGCACGCACACACACACATATTAAAGCATATGATTAAAAAATAAGAAAACCATTTCAACCAGTACTTCACCAGAAAAGTAAATAAGATATTCTTCATCTCTAAACATTAAAGAACTTCAAATTACAACTATAAGGAGTTACTTCTTCATATCTATTAGAGTGGCTGAAAAAAATCCAGAAACAAAACACAACTTGAAAATACAAAATGTCATTGAGATTGTGGAGCAACTTAATCTCTCATATATTACTGATGGAAAAAATCATATATTCATTTTAGTATCTTATAAAGTTCCTTCATGTAACTTAACAAACGATGATACCCCTCTCCCTCTACTGAAATGTTTAAGCATTTAGTTCTGCCTATTCTTAACAATGATGTTAAGTGGAATCATAAAGTACATACTATTTTGTGCATCACATTTTTAAAAAATTTTTTAATTTATTTTTTATTGTGAAAATACTGTATAGAGGGAGTTACAATTACATGGGCAAGATAATGAGTACATTTCTTATCAAGCGTTGTAGCCTCCTCCTTTGTTTCCCCTTCCCATCCCTTCCCAGTCTCCCCCCCCCCCCCCACCTAATCCTCCCCCCCCACCAAAGTTGTAAAGTTCGTTTTCGACATGACAACTTGTACTCCTCATTGTTGCAGCAGGTCCACCTATATACTTATTTAAACAACTTGTTTTACCCCTTCCCCTCCACAAATTATACCAACATCAAATACAGTGAAAGCAGGGGTAGTAATCCCTATTGTTCTGTGCCCTAGAATCTTATAGTGTGAATATGTGAAAATGTATCAGCTTGCCCAATCTACCAATGGATGTATGAATGCATTGAAAGTATAATATCCCTTCATTAACAGAAGCTTCCTTCAAGAATGGAAGGTTGTTTTTGTTTGTTTTCAATCTGTGGAGCTGGGCTGTGAACCCAAGGTCTTGCATATGCTGGGCAGGAGCTCTGCCTTTGAGCTAGATCCTCAGAGATTAGTTTTATGAGAGAGGCTCTCACTATGTAGCATAGGCTGACATGAACTCTCAATGTGTTTGTTATTCCTGATTACAGGTATTATAGGTATATGTCAGGAAGCTTGCCACAAGGTGGTTTTTATCAATCAAAAACATCAATCATGGTAACTGAATGCTGGGGCTCATGCTACTTAGGAAACTGATACGTGAGGATCACAATTCAAAAGCCACCCCAGGCTAGAAAGTCTGTGAGACTCTTATCTCCAATAAAGCAGAAAGTAGAGCTGTGGCTCAATGTGGAGGGCCTTGAGCAAAAGAGTTCATGGACAGCTCCCAGGCCCTGCGTTAAAGCCCCAGTACTAGAACAACAAAATTGCCAACGTTTATCATGAGATAGTATCAGATGAATAAATACCAAGAAACATATTAGAATTTTTTTGGTGGATGAATTTTTTCAGTGTCACGGCTAAACCTCTTCCAAGAAATTTGGAAAAGCCAATAGCCCTAGAAAAGAAAAACGTACACTAGGTGGCAACTCTTTAACTCCAGAAACACTTGAATGTTCTGCTGAACAAACACAGCTGGGTTAAGTAAGTAAATCTCCCGGACTGCTGCCCTATTTGAGAGCCACTGAACTCCTACAATGCCAATCCTGCCATCTCAAGTATCTCAGGACACTAGGCACGCCCCCACACCTCAGTACAAAACCACAGAAGCTCCAACAGAGCTTCAGAAGGAGCCCCCCCCCCCGTAAGTGTCTAAGCTCAGTCCACCGCCCTGCCCACAACTACAAACCCCTCCTCCTCTTGGCCCCGCCTCCGCGAGGACGCACTTCCGGCGACGGCTGGGCTCTGACACCCGCACAGCCAGCGAAGCCCAGCAAAGCCCAGCGAAGCCCAGCTGAGCGCGGCGGAACGAGCCTGAAGCCATGGAGGGTCGGGTGCAGCTGATGAAGGCCTTCATGGCCTGGCCCATCCGGCGCTCGGCGCGGCGCTGGAAGAACCCCATCCCCTTTCCCGAGATGTTTGACGGCGACACGGACCGGCTGCCCGAGTTCATCGTGCAGACGGGCTCCTACATGTTCGTGGACGACAAGACCTTCTCCAGCGACGCCCTGAAGGTGACGTTCCTCATCACCCGCCTCAAGGGCCCGGCCCTGCAGTGGGTCATCCCCTACATCGAGAAGGACAGCCCCCTGCTCAGCGATTACCGGGGCTTCCTGGCCGAGATGAAGCGGGTGTTCGGCTGGGAGGAGGACGAGGACTTCTAGGCGGCCAGAGCCTGGGGCCCGGGGCGGGTGCTCCGGGGAGGGGGGGCTGCGCGCCGCCAGGGTGGCCACGGGCGCTGTCCGGCCGCGCCTCGGGCCCTGACGCCCTCCCTCCGTCCCCCCCGTCCCTACGTCCGTCCGTCCGTCCGTCCCTCCGTGCCTCCTCGAGTCCAGTGGAGTCCCGTGGAGTCGCCGCGATCTCGGTGCCGTGCGCGCTCCTGTCCCTCCCGCGTCGCGCCTGCCTTTGTTCCAAGAATAGCGCTGCTCCAGCCTCCCGCTGCTGTGCGTGGCCCCTGGGCCTCGCTCCGCAGCGCCGCCACCCCGCTGCCGCCCCACCCGCGCTGCCTGCCCAGCCCCTCCCTCCCGTGCACATCTGGACTCTGTCCTGGCCTCCAGTCAGCCGCCAGCTGGGCTAGGAGAACACAAGGGACACACCCAGCACGCACAGCCTCCTGCCGCTGTCACCTGTCCCCTGCTGCACAGCCACCACCAGACTGCATCGACCTACCCCAGCGCACCTGGGCTGCCTCTGTCATCACCACCATCCATGGACACCCACCCACACCCACTTCCAGATGCTGCTCTCGCCCATCTGGACTCACCTCTGAGGTACCTGAGCTGACCACAGCCCGAGGACACTGATTCAGACAGCTGGTCCACCCCAAAGGGGACGGCCAGCCTGTCACTTTCACCTTCATCTGGACCCATTTCCTCCGGACTCTCAGACTCCTCTTGTGTTCCTGGCAGCCAAATTCAGGCTCTCATTTTCTCCTGTGGAACAGCTCCATACCCTCATCCACTTATGTTCAGAATCTACAGCTGCCTCTCTAATGTGTGTGCTTTTTCTTTAACACAGTCAACCATGTACCCCTTCCAGCTCTTCTACACTGCCTGTACAATAGCCGTTCCCTTTCTTTCAATAAATGTCAGACAAATATTTAAAAAGGAATCGAGTTTTCAAGAATATGACTCCTTTCCCTCCCTTGTCCTGCAAATGTAATCACCCATTTCTGGATGCAGGTTTATTTTTGGCTCTGGATAGAGGGCTAGGTTGCTGGGGTACCAAACATTTTAGACATTTGTGAGCATGAGGAAAATAATTACAGTCATTCATTCACTCTAAGTTGCTGAATAAAGTAGTTCCGATTGTTTATATTCTCTTAGGATATGGATTATTATTATCATTATTATTATTATTTTGTTAGAGCTATGGCAGAAGTAATCCAGGAAACTCCTTGCAAATGGTTTCTTCAAGCTTTTGAAAGCACGGCTCCCTAATTAATATGCCAATTAGAGAGGAATGCTACCCAAACTGTTTGAGTATCTGTCACAGTTATTTTACCAGCTACTCAGGGAATTAATGGAATGATAAAACTTTATAAAAATTTTAGAGTTTATTATGTAGAGATAAATGGGGAATGGAATGGGGATAATTTAGGCAGAAAGCCAATTAACCTGCATCTCCAAAAAGTATATAACAAATTTCCATTATAAAGTTATTCTCTAAGGCTTAACAACATTTAATCTCTTAAATTAAAAAGCCAGATTCTTGGCAATTGTCCAACAAGGTTAAATGTCCTAACTCAGATAATACACAGGTGGGGTTCTAAGGCAATTATAACCAGAAGGTGAAGTGCTGTGAAGGTCCTGGGGATGGAGACCCTACCTGAAGCCATCCAATGTTTGTTGATCAGACTTCTAATAAATTCACTGTCATACCTGTTAGGAAATGGATCTTGATCTAATTTTGATGGAGGTGATGTAAAGAGATATGTGGACCGGGTGCTAGTGGCTCACTCCTGTAATCTTAGCTACTTAGGAGGCTGAGATCTGAGGTTGTGGTTTGAAGCCAGTGGGGGCAGAAAAGTCCCCATGAGATTTTTATCTCCAATTAGCCACTCAAATACCAGAAGTGGTGGTGTGGCTTAAGTGGTAGAGCGCTAGCCTTGAGCATAAAAAGGCTCAGAGACAATGCCCAGGTCCTGAGTTCAAGCCCATGACTGGTGTGTGTGTGTGTGTGTGTGTGAGAGAGAGAGAGAGAGAGAGAGAGAGAGAGAGAGAGAGAGAGATTGAGAAATAGTTCCTTACTTTCACAAGCAACTTAAAAGCAAAATTTCCACACATTTGCTGGTGAATGCTTAAGTTTTCTTTAACTGGAGATTTAATAAGGAACCATCGGAGTTTTAGACACTTTTGAAAAAGGAAAGCATATGAAGATAAAAAGGGATTTGGAGGTAATGTGGAAGGAAGGTATAGCTCTGAGTACTAATTTACATATATTGGCAGTTGATAACCTAAGGATAAAATTTCTCTCTTGGCCAGAATGAAGGTCATGGGGTTTTTTGTGGCTTTTTTTTTTGTCTTTTCTTTTTTTGGTACTAAGGATGGAACCTAGGACACAGCACTGAGCTACATTCTAACCCCAATATTCCCTACAGTGTCTCTAAAAGGATACTTTCTTAAGGCTATAGCACTGCAAAAAGCTGCTGTTTTAATTATCTCAGTAATGTCAAATGAGCCTCAAATGGGCTTATAAGCCAGCACTGTTGTGGTGTAAAGGCTGTGCATCCTGCTGGGCATGGTATGCAGCATGGCCTGATAGTGTACATCTGTGTTCCTAGCACTTGGGACTGAAGCAGGAGGATCTGAGTTCAGGGCTAATCTGAACCCATAGTTAATTTGAGGCCAGTCTAGGATAGGTAGTGAGACCATGTCTTCAAATACATAAGTTGCTGAACTCTGACTTATTTCCAATTTGGATGAATTTTCCATAATATGAGAAAAGGCAGGGTAAGGCTTAACTTAGATCATTTATGAAGTGGCTTGGGTATATGGCTGGAAAGCAGAAATGGACTGACTGCACTGAAAGGAACACCAATATTATACACCCAATTCTTAGACTTCCCTACTCGCTTTTTCAGGGAGATGAGAACATTCCTTAACTTTCTTTCCTGTGTGTGTGTGTGTGTGTGTGTGTGTGTGTGTGTGTGTGTGTGTGTGTGTGTCTATGTTTCTGTGTTTGCCAATCCTAGTGCTTGAGCTCCAAGAGTGTGTGCTGTGTCTGGGCTCTTTTGCTAGCACTCTTATCAGTTGAACCACAGTTCTACTTCTAGCTTTGTTGGTGTTCAATTGTAGATAAGAGTCTCATGGACTTCCCTGCTGGGGCTGGCTTCAAACTATGATCCTCAAATCTCAGCCTCCTCCTAAGTAGCTAGGATTATAGATGTAAGCCACCAGCACCCAGCTGGCTTTCTTTTTTTTTTTTAATTTCACCTAGCCATTTGCTGTGTGAAGTTCATCAATAGCCTATGGTAATAACCATTCAGTCCTATAATCTATATAATTACTAATTATAATTACTTTAATTATAATTACTCTCAAACTTGTGAGATTGTCTGCTTACCAGCAAATTTTCTTCCCTTGGTATTATAGCTCACTGTTCATCACTGGTGAATGCTTTTACAATTGCACCCCTACATCACAGGGCTTTTTACTACTTCCTTTGCCATCAATAATGTAGTTTTTATTTCTAGCCAGCTGGTAAATAATCAAGTTCCAAATCCTGTTTCACAATGTGCTTCTCTGTGTGTGTGTGTGTGTGTGTGTATGTGTGTGTGGTCCTGGAGCTTGAACTCAGAGCATAGGCACTGTCCCTGAGCGTTGTGTTCAAGGCTAGTGTTCTACCACTTGAGCCATAACCCATTTCTGGTTTTTTGGTGTTTCATAGGAGATAAAAGTCTTATGGACTATCCTGCCCAATCTGGCTTTTAACCATGATTCTCGAATCTCAGCCTCATGAGTAGCTAGGATTACAGGCATGAGCCACTGGCATCCAGCTTGCTGTAGCTATTTTTTAGATTGAGTCTTGCATTTTGTCCAGGCTTAGCTGTATCATGATCTTCCTATTTACAATCCCTGCCTTAGTTGGGATGACACACATATGATACCACACTCAGCGATTGACTGATGGTTTCATAAATTCTTTGCCAGGACTAGTCTCGAATGGTAGTCCTTCCATTCTCTGCCTCCAGATTAGATAGGATTACAAGTATGAACCACCAATGCCATTCTGTAGTGAGATTTTGGTAGATCAAAATAGTTTGTATTATATATGTGAATTAGTTTTAGGGATGTATCCTAACATCAAAAAATGTGTTTCCTTCTACCGTGAGTCTTCCAATCTAACATACAGAACAAACACAATTACAATCTTAAACCAGAGGTCCAGTTGGGCGCTGGTGGCTCACACCTGCAACCCTAGCTACTCAGAAAGCTGAGATCTGAGGATCACGGTTCAAAGCCAACCCAAGCAGGAAAGTCTGTGAGACTCTTATCCTCAACAAACTACTCAGAAAAAGCTGGAAGTGGTGCTGTGGCTCAAGTGGTAAAGTGCTAGCCTGAGCTGAATTGCTGAGGCACAGCACTCAGGGCCAGAGTTCAAGCCCCATGACCGACAAAAAAGGGGGGGGGGCTCAGGGACAGTACCCAGGCTCCAAGTTCAAGCCCCAGGATTGGCAAAAATGAAAAAAGAAAAGAAAAGAAAAAAGAGAAGCCCAAATTACTAGACTTTCTATCCTTAAGTACAAGACTGTGGAATTCTATATGTTCTCCTTTTGATCGTGTGGCAGTATGATATTAGCTGCATTATGGCAGAAACAGCCATGGCAGGGAAGAAAATAGGTCCTAGACTCAGTTTGGCACTGTGGAGCCACAGCGCCACAGTGAAGTTCATAGGCTAAGGAGGCCAGGAGACTGTGATAGGGAGGAGAGACTGGGTGTGCAGGAAAAGGGACCCAGAGAAATGAGAAACAGATGGAACAGATTTGACAACTATATGTGGGTACCAGTTAAGAAGACGTGGATGATGTAAGTGTATCCCCTCTGTACACTATTTTTACAATAAGAAAAGAAGATGTGGATGAAGAGACTGGGGGTCAGTAGAGAAGGTGGTTTCACCACCAGAAGAGTCCTAGGGACAGAATAGGAACGTAGTTATAGGCCAGCAGCTATGGATGTAGGCCAGGAATTCCTCTGAACCACAATCTCCATTATCAAAATGTCAGAGCGTACTCATCAAAACAGAATCTTGAATTTGAGGACAGCCTGGGCTACAGTGAGTTCAAGGCCAGCCTGGACTACATAGAAAGATCCTTACTCAACAACCACAAAAAGTGAGTAATGTCAACACAATCATCCTTCATATCCTTCCAGGAAAGGATCGAAGTCCAGGTATTTTTAGTTCAGGATCTGAAATGAACTATTATTGTGGTAAGATTCAGGGGTGATTGCCCTCATCACATATTCCTTACTGTTTGAACATACTGATGCCATTAAATATATATTTTGGGATCACAATGGACTTGCATTTTACTTTCTTTATTTCATTGCATATATGAGCTACTTTTTGCCCTTTCAATTCCTGCTCCCCAAAATTTTCATGTTAGCTTCATTGCTGCATAGAACTGCTTGTTGCAATACCTTAATTTCTCAGTGTCCCCCTAGATGGAAATCAAGGCCATATGTTAGTACATGCAGAGGCAGGTACCTTAGCAGACTCCTGCAGAAGTCCCTGGAGAAGGGGTCTTTGCATCCAGGATTTGTAGCACTTCTCTCAGCTAACTATTTCAGCTCTTTCCAGGCTCCTATAGGACAAGCAGACAACAGATGCTTGCAATGGGTCCCTTGGGAACCTCCTTCCTTATTCCATCTCCGTCTTGGGGCTGTATGGCACAAGTACTCTTGGGAAACTGGGTAAAGAGGAAAATGGAGCTCTTTCAAAAGCACATTATATCAGAATTTCCTAAGGTCTGGGTGACACCAAACCATTCAAAGCTGCCTTGTTCCCAATATTAAATGTTTGGAAACTTGAGTGTAACAAAATTTCTGGAAGATTATCTTTTTATATTCTTTTCTGGTCCTGGAGCTTGAACTCAGGGCCTAGGCTTATTCCCTGAGACTTTCTTGCTCAAAGTTAGTGCTCTATCACTTGAGCCACAGTGGCATTCTGACTTTTTAGAATAGTTTCTTGGAGATAAGAATCTCACAGAAGTTCCTGCCTGGGTTGGCTTTGAACCATGATCCTCAGATCTCAGCCTCCTGTGTAGCTAGGATTGCAGGTGTGAGTCACCAGTGCCCAGAAGATTATCTTAATTATATGTTCCATGTCATTACTGGCCCAACCACTCCCCCCCCGACTTTTTTTAAAAAAGCATAATTACATTTCTTTCTTTATTATTTCACCTTGCTGTTGTCAGACTTTATGTTTCCCCATCCTAGTCAGGTAAGGCTTCTTGCTTGGGAGTGTCAGTAGATTGCTGAGGAAGAAAAAGCATAAAATATAACTATACGGGTAAGAATATAAAGTAATGAAAAAGAACCTCCTTTCTTACCTGAAAAATGACATTCCTTTGCCCCTTTATGACATTTATATGATTGACTTGTGTGAACTACGACACATCACAAGACATTTGTAGCACAGATGGTGACTTGGGAGGGTCAAACAAGTGTAAACCAAGGAAAATTTCTAATATAGCTATAATAGCAGGAAGAAAATTACACTGGTATTGTTGAGAATGGTAGGAGAATATCAACATTGCTCAAAGGATATCCTCCTCCCTCTGCTAGGATTACAGATATGTGTTACCTTATCTGACTCAAGAAATTTGAATTTTCCTTCTGATTTCACACTTTGATATGTGATATTCCAACTAAGTTACTGATTTTATACCATTTCTATGAATAAAAAGATATAGCAGATTTATTGTAGATAATGCATCTCTGGCTCTTTGTAGAGTTCCAGGAACTGCTGGTTCCAAAAACCAGATTCAGAGCAATGGAGGAAAAGATGTCCGTGCAGTGACACCTCAAAGAATTGTTTATTTAATAATTAATTCTAATTAGCAACAAGGGGCAAGAAATGAGTCTAACCTAACTGAAACATGGTTAAGCTACAGTTATTGTCCCCAACTTCGGCTATTATAGCTCAAATCAGTCCAAAGCAAATATAAGGGGGTTAAAGAGAAAAGGCCCCATTACATGGGGTACAAGATGAAAAAGGAGGTTTGGTAAAGGATCCAGGAATTTCTTCACTAAGATAAGTGCATACAGGGACTCCCCCACCCCCTTCTCTCCCTCTCACTCTCTCTCTGTCTCTCTGACTCTGTCTCTGTCTGTCTGTCTGTCTCTCTCTCTCTCTCATGTGTGTGTGTGTGTGTGTGTGTGTGTGTGTGTGTGCATGCCAGTCTTGGGGCTTGAACTCAGAGACTGGGCACTGTCCCTGAGATTTTTTTGCTCAATCCTAATGTTCTACCACTTGTGCCATATCTCCACTTCTAGTTTTTTGGTGGTAGAAGTCTCAGGAGCTTTCCTGCCTGGGCTAGTTCTGAACTGCAACCCAAACACCTCAGCCTTCCGAGTAGCTAGGATTACAGGTATGAACCACTGGAGCCAGGCTATCTTTTTTTTTAATTTAATTTTATTTTATTTGTGAACATATTGTACAGAGGGGTTACAATTGCATGGGCAGGATAATGCCCTTCCCATCCCTTCCCAGCCTCCCCCCTCCCCCCCATCCCAATCCTTCTCCTTC